GACGTGACGTGATGGTCTCTGCATGGCAACGGTCGAAATCTTCGCCCTCGAAGAGACTTGCGCAGCTTCATGCAGCTTCGCACTTCGACCCAGCGTTAACGCGGTGCTTGTTCAGGAACACACACAGTGTGTGTAGGAACAATGGGTCGCAATCGTCGATTAGCTGTGCTCGCCACCCGTCTGTGATGTTTTACTTGCAATCATTCCATGAAGATGCTCTTCCAGTACACCGACAGTACACCGAGGGCGTGATTGATTTCTGCAACGACTCACAGATGTGCATATGTCGGTTAAGAAAGCTTCACAGACAAAGCTGTGAGACCTTGAAATTGGGAATTCCGGAATCCCTGACTGGTTGCGCATAAAGATGTTTTGCCCTTGGGTCCGCTCCCGACTTGATGCAGCCGATGAGCCTTGGCAGTATGTCGCCTGTCGACTTTCGATTGCGGGAAATGTCGCAGCTTCCGCAAGCATAGTGTTTGAACCGTTGCGTAACAAGGCAGCCGGCAGGCTGAGTGTGTGTGCGGCGTGGACTTGATTTGAGCTCGTGGCGTAAGCAGCGCCTCATTGCCTGTTTGGAGCTGCGTGCTCGAAGGGGGTATCAGTTTGCTGTTTTGGAAGTCCACTGCTCACACGCCTCTTGCAAAAGCTTTGCGAAGGTTTGTACAGGTTGAGGTCGCGGGAGGGCGCAGACATGTCTCTCATGTCAAAAAGAGCGGGCACGGAAAGGGGAGGCAAGCTCTTTCTTTCTTCAACGGCCACGCGTCATAGACGCTCGGTCGCCGTTTCAGTCAGACAACAACTCTCGAAGCAAGCATGGTTCATCCACTCTGGCCAAAGATGGGCATTCGAGCGGATTGAATCGTAAAAAGAGCATCGTGGTGGAGATTTGTGAAGCGGTTCCTCGCGATGCCAACTATGTCAGGATTTTGTTGTGTAAGGTTTCGAGAACAGTGAGATAATTCGTGATCAGACTCAGACTGCACGCAATGTGACCTCACAACCTCACAGTTTTTAATCTTGCGCATCCTTGACAGGACTCGCTTCTCTACACTGGCACATCTCTGGGTGACGATGGCGATGGCAGCCCTGCCAGTGTTTGACTCATGTTCGTTGCAGTCCATCCTGTAGTGTGCAAAGTTACAGGTCTTTGATTAGGGTAGTATGAGAATATGCATGCACGTCGCAAGCAAGGTCGAGTTGAGCTTGAATGGAGCGCAGAGGAGGTATCCTGCATAATCAGCAGTAAGCGGCTGCACAAAGCTTGTCGTGACCAGTGTGGAGGAGCCGTTTGCTCTGACTGCGACACTTGACGACGGACTCCTTTGCGATGCTTGTGACCACCGCTTTTTGGAGCCATCTCGAAAACAAGAGGCTCGCCCCGTTGTTCTTGGTACAAGTTGATCCGCAAACAAATCGACTGAGCCACCTTCATCGCAAGTACTTTGGTAGCTTAGCTTTGGGAACGGACTTGTCAGACGCTAGGTTCGCAGGTTTGTGAATCTGCCGGGAGTGCGATGCGGCTGCGCACGTCACCCTGCCATGGGCCCGAAGACCCGGTAATTATCAAAGGAAAGTCGCGATTGTCGCGGAAGAGTTGGGGCTCCGACCCGGAGCGCAAAGACGCGCTTTGTCCATGTGGCCCATGCACAGTAGCGAGGGAGCTGAGCAGCGCATCTGGATCGGTGGTGTGGAGGCCAATCAGTGCAAACGAAAACGATTGCAATTTCGCGGTAACTTCGCCGAAAATCGTGTGTCGGGCAGTCGTCTTCAAGAGAGAATCCCTGTTGACGGGCTGCGCGAGGGAATTCAAAATCAACTCCAAATTGTAGAGATTGGTCAGCGGGGCAGCGAGGGCTTTTGTTCGCATATCCAGTAGCCACAAGTCGCCAGGTTCCTGGGGCCTCGAGTTTATTTTACGACCAAAAGTGCAGGGCTTGGAAGATGGCGAGACGGGTTTCGGATGCCCCGTTTGGTGGAGCCCATCCCGCCAAATTTATGACTGGACCATGCCAGGAAGTGTACAGCATCAACGGGCTCAGGAGCAGTCTCAGGTCTGAATTTCTTCCCTTACCTCCAACCTTTTTTTTCGGCAGACACCTATCAGTGATTGAAAAGGAAAACGCCTTGCAGAAGGCGCCTTAGCATCATAGCCTTGCTATAGAAACTGCTGCAACATGGTATCTTCATGTCTCAGTTAGATGCAAAACCAGGCAACTCTGTCGGCGAGCTGTCAAAGCACAAAACAGAAGCGACACAAGTTGCAAAAGCGAAAATTGTGATTACAGGGAGCTTTTCGAATACAGCTGCTGTCCAGGAAGATGTGGAAGAGGAAGGCCCAACAACTTCCAATCCATCTCCAGTTGTGGAGGCGCCCGGAAGCGAGAGTCTCGCTGAGAGATAAGACAAGCTTTGCAGACCTGCGTTGCCCCTACTTCCCCGGCCGCTCCTCCCACAAGCCATCCCCACGAAACAAGAATCTCGCAGGAGATGGAGCCCACAGTCGTGGAGGATCGGCCTGTTTCGGCTTCGGGCAGCAGGCCTTTGAGCGAAAGAGCTGGGCGAGCGGAAGCTGAACTTGCGAGACTCACTTCCCAAATCAACAGATTGTGCCCTGCTTCATGTGGACGATGCTTTGCGGTATCATTGATCGAGTTCTCGGATCGTGCAAGGTACTCGGATGTCGCTCGAGACCTCGATGCCGGTGCTCGCGCGGTTTGGGGTGAGCTGTATGCGCTGTTTCAGGACATCCGATGTTGGTTTTGCAATTCAGATCACATATCTCGCGTCGTTTGTTTAGGTGGGCGATTGTGTTGCGGATCCTAAATTGGAACCCGACTTTCCAGTGCGGAAAACAGTTGTGGACCGGGGCAGGGCGAGTTGCGACGCAGAGTCGGCTCGGGGTCTGCGGATTGGGCTCTACATCCCGATCTTAAGGAGGGCAGGCGATTCAGAGCTTGTTCTTGGTGACGAGGACTTATCTTGAGCTGTCTCGCGTTGTCGTTGGTCTTCAATTTCAGTGTAGTGGCTCTCCACACGCACTGACATCCGGCCCTTTGTCAGAGCAATCACCGGCTAGGGCTCTTCTCGAACCTGTTTGGCAATGATCACCTGCTGCAGCTCATGGCAACTCACCTTTCTGCGCATGCATGCACGTTGCAAGACAAGCAGGGGTTCCTGCCAAAACGCAAGCCCGCTGACCACGACAGGGGTCGCTCTAACAGGGTCCAATGATCAGGGGCTTTGGGTGCTTCGCTGGTCGAGCCTTCACATCCACTGCCGATGAGAAGAAAATGGAAAACCACAACAAGCTTCCAAGAACAGAGAATGCCGATAAGAACAAGACTTGTCCCATCAGTGGTCTTATCATCCGCATTGCCAGTATGGCCGCGGTTCGTTTTCCGCACGGTTTCTGTGAACCGAACCTGAATCTTGCACGGTTCGGTTCCTGCGATTCCGGTTCTTGCGGTTCCGATTTGCGGTTCCGACGGTTCGCTATTCAGAGGCCCAGAAGTACGGGCCGGAAACGCCAACTCGTGGAAGAATCTGTGCCCTGCCAGGAGTGGTAACAGAGGGGGCTCAAGAGGGCGGGAGGGGGGGTACAACTTCTTCCGCATTTCGGGTGCTTGGCACCCAAAAAACGCCAAATCGTGGAAGAATCTGTGTCCTGCTGGGGTGGTACAAGAGGGTGCTCGTGGGAGGGAGGGGTGGTGCAAATTCTTCCGAGTTTCGGCCCCGTACAGGCCGGGAAACGCCAAATCGTGGAAGAATCTGTGCGCATGCACAGGTCTGTTTCCCACGCTTTGATGATGCGGCGCATCGCATCAAGTGGATGCTGTATCGTAACATCGTATTATGGGGGCATTGCTTATCTAGGGCCTTCGCCTCAAAGTGGCCACTATCGAGCCATTCTGGCGCCCACTCGGGTAGGCCGCGGCCACGATGGTTGACGGTGTTAATGCTCAAGTCTGCCATCACACCTATCAGTGCATTCTGAACCAGAATCGTTACATCTTAATAACTTAATACATCTTACGCTTTCAAGCTTTGGAATGAACTCGGTTGCGTCAGACTTCGGTCAGCCATTGTTTCACCTGCTAGGTCCTCGCAAGCGGTGTGGGTTGGCCGCACCAAAACGGTGTGTCGTGTATCGCCCATGGGACAAGGATATTGTTCTGCAGATGCAAAGTCAGAAAAAATCTCTCTCTCTCTCTCTCTTTTTCTCCCCGAGTGCGTTCATTTTCATGTGGTGAACAGACGCCTAGTTAAAGGCTAGACCAACTTGCCATGGTTACAACACCGCCTCTGCCGTTGCTTGATAAATCAAAATCCGGCAAGGGTTCATACATGTGCCTGCGCGCATTCACGGTCCTGCAGGACAAGATGGGTGTGGAGATGACTGACGAGGCTTTAGCATTGCTTGGCAGATGTGAAGTCAGTTCGTAGAAGAGTGGAGCATCAAGGATCAGAGTGAAATCGAAGCCTTCATTTTTGAGCACCTTCCAACCGAGAGTGTGAAGCTCAGCCAACCCCGCAAAGGTTTCAAAGCTGCGTAGCATGCGCAAGTCACAATAAGGATCGCTACCACCGAGGCACTGATTTGATATGGAGGGTTTACAAGGCTGTGCCCTTAACCGCACGCACAAATCCGTCTACCATTGGCAAGCAGTCAAATACTTAGAGATGTTTTTGCAGACGTTTGAATGAGGTTTTACATCTCGAGCAGGAGCGGGACAGATGGCAGCGTGCTGTTGCCACGAAAGAAGCCGACACACTGCCCGAGCTGATTAAAAACAGCAACAGAGACAAGCTGCGCATGTTTCGCTGTTTCCTCACAGTCGATGGGATACATGTTTCAGGCCAGCATGTTTCGAAAGAGAAGACTCCGCAGCTACGTACGCGGAAAGTCAGCGGAAGGGGCTCCTGCTCGTGGCAACAACAACTGACCGCGCAAGTCCAGGCGTGCGAAGCTTACGAAGTGCCGTTTCTCGTTTCTAGACTGGAGGTCTGGCAAAAGCACGGTTGGAGAGAATGAGCGGTAGTGAATATTTTTGCTGTAGGCATCAGTGCCTGGATTCTACACCCTAGGACCCCAGGAGGCCGCATGCTGCGCCGGCTGCTCACACGGTAAGCTGCCAAACACAGGAGCGCAGGCGCCGCTGAACCTGGTTTTGCAATGAATTATTGAATCAACTTTGGCCAAGGCTGTGGGACTCCACCCACCTTGTGCTAACTCAATGAGTGACGACAGCTGTCGTCTTCTGTCCGGACTGGCTCAGCATAGCGATTGGCAGGTCCCTTGACTGCGCAAGCGAACGGCGAACATCGGGAAAGAAGGGTGTGCGACAGTATACCACTCCCCACCAATGCCAAGCAGCAGAAAAGAGGAGACAGACCCGGTCCTGAGCATGTTCATTCCACGCTCTGTCGGAGCCTACAGGTAAATCTTACGACGGCTGCGGCCATCGGTGCCGTCGCTTCGGCCGTTGGCCTTTTGCGTGATAGTTGCCACCATTGGTCCCATGAGTACGGCCGTGGAACGGTGTCCAACGGCATCGCAGCATGCAACCGAGAACCAACCCCTTCTGGGTGCAGTGGTAAACGAAGATTGGCAATGGTGGGCGCCATCGCAAACTCATCGAGTCCTCTGTGTCCACCACTGCCTCGGCGTTTTCTGTAAGTTGTATTATGTTATGTTTGCGTTTGTCTCTCGATGTCCGTGTTTCTGTGTGTGTTTGTCTCTCTCTCTCTCTCTGTGT